GGATTGGGGAAGGGGGGTTGTCACTTTGAGGGGTAAAAAGTATAACTATTGCACTGTGTTGTACAGCTGAAACTAATTTAAAAAAATGTTTATTTCAAAAAACAAAAAAGAAAAAAATGACCTAAACTGAAACCCCGAATGTTGATCTACGTATGCTGGGCAGCTGTTCTAGAGGCAGAAAATACCCTGCTTTTAATCAGGCAGGCAAACATTCCACATGTATACTTGAAACTACATCAGACTGTTTCTTCATATTCTAAGTCACAAGAGCTAGGACAATGAAGCAGCTTCCTTTATTATTAGATAAGTGTGTTGGGGGGCAGGTTTTGGGGAAATGCGTTCTAGAAGCCACTGCCAGTTCTATTTAGAGTTAATAAAGCTTACCGGGACCCCGGGTCTCATGCAGCATGCAGCAAACAGCAGAGTTAACTGTAAAACAGTAAGAGCTGATGAAGATGGAGTGAACTTGAGAAATCAAATGTTATGAATTCACACAAACAATGAAGAGTTAAAGGTCAATGGTGATTAGGAAGAGTGGGAGGGGCAGTGGAGAGGGTGGGCTGTTAGGGACCCCTGAAACACAGGTACTCTTTCTTAATGTCTTTAAGGGCAGCCAAAGGAAATTATGAATATGTGATTATATTAGATCCAACCACCATCTCACAAGAAATGCCACTATCACCACTTCTACTTCAAACCCCACCACCACCATCATCACTATGGGACCAGAGTGACACAGGTCTCATGATAGGTGTACCAGAAGTTAGCTAACTGTTTATGCAATTATATAAAAACCCCAAACCTTGGGCCACTTATACATCTAGAAGTATGGAAGAAGGCAATCTATTTTGTCAGGACTTGATTGCAAATATAAAATTCCACATGCCACCCATTTCAGAATTGGAAAAGGTACCATCACCAATCCCAAAGATTCCTGAAGACTGTAGAGAGGTATCACTCTACATAGGATCTTCTGCCTGGGGCTGGGGTTGGTCAGATAATTTGAGACAACTGGGAGAAAACCTGATCTGGGAGGAACTTCCACTGAACATCTAAAAAGGGAATATTTATAGGTTAGTGTCAGTGGGGTTCAAACAAACAAAATCTCCTAATTCCTGCAAGGAGGCTGTGAAACTATCCAAGGGATCCAAATACCACAGGACTATGAAGGAAGCAGGTTAGAGCTGGAAGACAAATTTAGACCTTTCTGATCTTAAAAATAGGAATCCATGCCTGCTGGTGCAACTAACACACCATGACAGATCAGTTAACATACTGTGTGTCCAAAGAGGCTTTTGTTTTTGTTTTGGTTAGTTGAACTTTATCCATTAAGTAATATCAAAAAAAGTTAATTAGTGAATGTGGCATATAGTGTTATGGTTCAGTAACAAAAATCACTAGATTAATTGGTGCAAATGTTCAAATTACACTTCTGAATAAAGTATAATTGGATTGTAAAACCAAGTGCCTTCAAATGTAAAATATTTTAATATTGTACAAAAGTCACTGTTTTATTCCTAAGTGATAAGTCAGGCACAGAAGAAAGGCAAGTGCTTCCTCCTTCTGACAAATATCCAATACTTGAGTAAGGAACTGAGTCTCTGAGTGGCTAAGAACAAAGGGCAATGACCATGGACATCTTTCAGATCCTCAGATTCCTTTAATAAGGACATTGCCTAACATTCCACCTGAGGGCTTTCTGAGTCACACTGCTCAAACAACTACAGAGTACAAGGGACCACTGGGTTTTTTCCTACTGTTGTATAGGTCCCATCAGAAATGCTTTTCTCATCCCTGGTTCTGGGATGAGGAATACATTGGGTCAGGATAATTGGCCCACATGGTAACCGAGAACCCATGCTATCCTGCCTTACCAAATACCAGGGTAGAATTACAGATTGTAAAATCATTCCCCAGGTTAAGGATGGGTCACCTGTAGTATTCCAGCATCTGAAGGCTCCCCACAAAGTTCTCTATACCTCAGGCTGAAAACAACTAAGCAGTCAAGAGGAGGGACAGCAAAGGGGTGAGAAGTCAGAACTGGGCTACAGCCTTCAGCAGCAGCAGTTAAGCACTCTTGGCTGCATCTAGTGAGAACTGAGGCAGAGAGAGGGTTGGCCTACAGTTACGGAGAGGCAAACACCTCAGTTATAGGACGGGCAAACAGGCCTGTAAGCCCAATCAGCTCCAACCTCTATCTACCCTTCTTTTTGTCCATCTCTTCCTTATAACTTTGCAGCTTTCGTTGTTTCCTCCCTTTTTCCTTCTACCCTCTCACATTCCTTTTGCTTTTCCTCTCCTTTCCCTTCCTCTCCTCCTCCTACCTGAGTTTGGAGGACTTTCCTAAGCAGACCAAACAGAAGGGCTGGGCCTCTGGGACCACACCACTCCCCTACTCTCAGTTCCCCAAATTCAGGGAATCCTTAGGTCCCATGTGGACACTGAAACCAGTTATAGGTATCCAAACTGGTCTAATAGCCCACAGCTCGCCTCTGGTCACCAGCCGTCAGCCTCCTCAGCCTCCAGACCCTGCCCTGAAGGGATTAAGAGGAGGAAAATGAAGCCACCACCAGAGCAGCCTCCCACTTACTTTTTCTTTTCTTTGTCCCTTTTTAGAGTCTGTGAGCCTCCAGCCTGGGAGCCCTGGGACTGGAGCAGCTCGGCTGCCGTCTTTCTCTGTTTGAAAGCGTTCACTTCATCATCCAGGGATTTCTTCTTATCCTCCAGCTTCTTCTTCTCATCCTGATGTAGTTTCTTCAGACGGTCAAACTTCTCATGCAGCTAGCAGGAAAGCACAGGGAATTTGGGAGGAGTCCCCCGTGAGTAGCTCCCAGCTGAGCCGAGCCCAGGGAACTGGAGACTGGCAGGGTTGCTACCCTGTAGGACCTTGGGACCTTAGGAGACATTTCTGCCAGGGACAGCTATGCTAGCACCAAAAGGCACCATGTTCTAGAGAGTCCCCTTCTCCTCCTGCCATTTTGCCTCCAAGTTTCTGCTCCTGAATATGGTCAGGGAACTGTGTATTCTGCTTAATCAAACATTTTTATTTTTTTAAAAAGTTGCCACACATGGTTAGTAATATCAATTATAATAGTATAACCTTTATGTAGTGCTTATTATAGGCCAGGCACTGACTTTTATAAGCGCTTTATATGTATTAACTCATTGAATCATCTCAATACTCCTATGAGGTAGGCACTGTTATCCACATTTTATGAGGAAACAGAGGTGAGAGAAGTTAAGGAATTCGCCCAACCAACGTCCATTCATTCTTTAGAGGATTATATAATGAGATCTCTCAATATGAAAGAGGCCCCTGCCTTTTATTATCTTCAATCAGGGAAGATCACCATGGATCGTAGAGCAAACTTCAACAATGCCAAAGCTGGTCAAAGGAAATACTTGCCCTTGGATATGAAAGGAGATAAAAAAATTATAAAATGGAATGTGTGGAGACCTCAGCTTTGATCAAGGGGACACATAACTAGCCCTGAATAGAGCCAGAGACCCAAAGGAGAACAGCAAGAATATTCGGACATGCCAGTGTAGTAAGTGGATCAGGGAGCAAGAGGTACAGTTGGTAAAAAACTAGAATGTGATAAACTACCCTGAACAGTAAGAGCAGACCAAGCACACTTTCACTTTCTTTTGAAGATTCAGGAGAGAATTTAAGATTCTGTAGCACTTGCAGCATACAGTGAAGAAGGTCAGGTCTCCAGGTCCTAGAGGTATTTAGGACTGTCATTTAGTAAGACGTGGCAGATGACAGACTTGCCTAGTAAACCAGCTTTTATAATACTAGTCACTTGGGGTAGGGTGGTGGAAGCTCTGTCCATCAGTTGCTTTAATCTGGCTTTTATCCATTGGCCTTTCATTCATTCCTCTTTGAGATCCCCTTACCTCTCCTAAAATTACTGGGTCACATTTTTCTTTTGAAAAGGGAAAATGAAATAAAATCAATACCCTTGCCCTGGGCTTTGGTGATAACCCTAGAGAGTCACAGCAGATTGTGGGGTAAGAGATTTAAGAAGTAATTAAGTACTTCCCTTTATCATTTCGAGGTCCAGAGAGGTGAGGCAGTTGCTGACATGACCAAAACTGGAGCTGAGGCCACTTAATCGAGCATCAGTGGGCAAATTGGTAGTGAGATCTGGGACCCAAGGTGAGAGTTAGAGGACTAACTGCACTCTATTAGGCACGGCTTAAGTGATGAACTCCAGAAGAACCACTAAATCTTAGTTTAAAACCTTGCTAGAGCCTCATAGATGTTTCTTTAATGCTACCATGAAATGGAACAGAATATCCAAGGGACAGGGGAAATGCCCCAGCTGTCACTGTGTTAGGTTTTGGCAATGTACACAGGACTGCCTGGGACCATCTTTCCCCATGGCCATCAGAGCAGGTGGGATGGGGCAAGACAGCCAAGAAAATCATCAACTGTCCCTATTGAGCGCTGAACTCCCAGGAAGAGGGAAAAGAATAAGCTCGCACTTTACCTCAAGGGCCTATGTCAGGTCTTGACTCTTGAGCAATGCAGCCCAGTAGAACTTTCTACGGCCATGGAAATATTCTATATATGCTGTCCAATACGATAGCCACTAGTTGCAAGAGGACTAAGCATGTGAAATGTGGCTAATGTGACTCAGGAACTGAGTTTTAAACTTTGTTTATATTTAATTAATTTAAATTTAAATAGCCACACATGGCTAGTGGCTACCATATGGACAGAGTGGCTCTAGAGAATTAAGTAAGATGGAATGAGAAAACATACTGGCCCTGTGGAATGAGGGATCAAAAAGACATCTTTCACAGCCCCTTCTGTGCTAGCCAAGGCAGGGCTATAGATGTCGTGCCCCATTCTTGCCTGGAGGCTGCAAGACTTCTGCTGACTGTGCTCGTGGGGCAGAAGCCCCTGCCATGCCAAAGCTCAGCATCCTTTCCCTTCCCGCCTACCACCTAGGCTCACATTTACCTCTTTCTCTGCCTCTTTTAGTTCAGCTTCTTTCTCTTTGACTCTCTGGACGAACATCTGTCTCATCTCCTCTTCTTTTTTCTGGAGCTCTCCCAGGAACTCATTCCTTTTGGCTTCATATGTCTCCTGCAAGCTGAGAACACGGTCAGGTTAATTACCCTGTCTTCAAAATGGCTCCTATTTGATGAAAACGGGCCCCAGTGATCCTCCCTGGGTTCCCGCATCTTCCCTTCCCCAATTCTGGGAGAGGTGTAAAAACAGAAAAACAAAGTTATGGGCAGCTGGCTTGGAATGTGACAGCAGGATCACAGGGTTTCTTGAGGGGAATGGGTCAGCCCTGGTGAACTGGAGATATTTGGAACTGGTAGTGACTTAGAACATCTGCTTCTATACTCTTGTTTTATAGGTGAGCAAACAGGCCCAGAGAGGTGAGGTGACTTGCTCAAGACCGCATGGTTAGTTAGAAGCTGAGCTGGGACAGGAAGCTAGGTCTCTTCTTCCTCATTCTGGGTCTTCCCTCAGCACTCTGCTGCCAGTCAGATCCTGGCTCTGAAACTGACCACATTAGTGAACTGTTACAATAAACACCTGATGAGACTCCCCCATGTGCTAGACAGAGGACTGAGTGATACTATGCTAGTATCTCAACATCTAGAGCCAACAGACACTGTACCTGCCATCAAGAAATTCAGTCTAGGGCCGGCCGAGTGGCACGTTGGTTAAGAGCTGGCCTGGGATGCCAGAGGGCCCTGGTTCGGATCCCACATATGAGGGCCAGTCACATTGCCCTCCACAGCTAAGATGCTGAACAACAGCTCAACCTGGAGCTGGGCTGCTGTGAGTCGCCTGCGACGGCGTAGGCTGCAGCCCTTGCTGC